TCATTGTCGGAACCGAGTCCTCTTTCGGAACCGAGTCCTCTTTCGGAACCGAGTCCTGCTTAGGAACCGAGTCCTGATCAGGAAGCTGTGTGACCTCGTTTGCCGCACCCTTGCAGTATGTTGGAGGTGTAAACTCGGGAACTGGAGACGGAGGCGAATTCAAGTACGTTGTCTTATTGTTTTGGACGGTCACCGTTAAGGTAAAAGTAATCGTTGTGGTGTTAGGAACAAAGGAGTACGATGTTTCTGCTTCTCCTGGTGCCAGAGGCGTGCAATACGTGGGCTTCGCTGTAGAGGAAGCGTGGTTGCCCTGCGCATCCGAGGTACGGGGAACCGAAGAGGTCAAGTTGAGCCCGGTGCTAGCAGAGGTCAATGAAGATGACCGTGGCGCCGTCGGATATGGATACGGATCTGTTCTGTTTCTTGCGGTCGACGACGTGTTCGTCGCAGATGTGGAAATTGGTGCGGGGCTGTTGGGATATTTGTGTATAATGCCCGAGTCGGTACTCGACAAACTTGGGTAAATAGATGGTGATAGCGGATCCGATGAAATCACATCGGACTTGGTTGGGTCAGGCCTCTCCGAAACGAAGGTCGTGTTCAGATACTGGTAGCCCCTCCGCTGCGGCGTGTCTGGGTCTGTTGTGGATTATATATCAGCGCCTACTATCGTCGAAATCGCACTTTTTCCACGTACCGGCTTCAACCCAGGTGCCGAGTAGCAAGACCTGCCATAGCAGCACTCCCGGCCAGAACAGCATGGCTACGAATTTCGCCGTAACCACCTTCCGGTAACACAGGAGTGTTGTGTGAGTGAGCCAGACATGCAAACAAAGGTTTCCGAGATGGATTGCACGTAATGGTGAAGGCTGTGAGAGATGGGAGATGCGACCGAGTTCCTTCTCTTCCGGCAGCCGACTACAGAAAATTGCGCTATCGAGAACGAACGCAAACTCTGTCTTAGTTGTAATAAACGAATGTCTGAGAAGAGGGAGATAAAGCTGGTAGAAACGATCGTGTATAGCCACAAGTTCAGAGGCTGAATTATGGCGTAGGTTTGCATAAAGAGATCAAGAGTAAAGGATGAGCAGCGGTAGGCATGGAAACCAGCCTCGAAGCTCGAAGAACATGGTGTACTCCGTATAACCGACTTTGCAGCCAAGACGCTTGGACCGCGATAAACGTCGGCAAATAAGGTCGGTCCTTAATGTCTGTACTCCATACACTTCGTACGGGCAGTCCGTAGTACGTACGGATACCAGGACCAGTAGTACTTACAGCAGCAAAGCAGATATCTGATCATCCGATCTGGTTCTTACTGCGTTGAAACTACATTATACTACGGTACTATACTACTATACTACTATACTACTCGACACTACACTACACTGCACGCTACCACGAGGGTACTATTGAATATACTAGTACTACGTACCTAGTACCTAGTACCTAGGTACTACTACTTACTAGTCTACCACCGTGCCCTCAACAACGGCCATGACTAGGTAGAGGCGGGCTCAATGCCGGTCTCCCGGCCACGAGGCCCATGGGCTGGAGAGGCAACGCGGCCAGCCAGGTAGTCGAGTCGTCGACCTTCTGCCATACCCACATACCCAGAACTGGACTGGCCAATGCGAGGCGAATAGAATGATCGCCCGCCTTCGGGCCATTCGGCTGGGCATCAGGGCATGAAACAAAGAGTTGAAACTTGAGTTTAGATGCCAGTAGCCTTGAAGTCCCACAAAGAAGCTTGGGGGTGGGGAATCAACTGTCAGTGCAGGATGGGGGGGGTGGGGGAAGATGGGAGATGGGAGATGGGAGAATGGATGAACCGCTCTGTTGTCCTATCCTGCTTCTTTAGCGAGCTCGGCTCAGGGGAAGGGACGTGATGCTGTCAATAATGTAAGTCCTGGAGTACACAATGCAAAGCTTTTCAGATGGCATATTGCATCGAAGAAGGGACGGCATACGGTACCGGTATCTCTACAGAGATCGAGTACCGGTACCGTACCTACTACTGTACGTACTACGACCTACTCGTAGCCCACTGGGAATCAGAAGACCGCCTAGCCAGCCCAGCAAAACAGAGTTTCCCCTGGATACAGACGTGGAGATAGCGCAGTGCATCTACCTACTGTACTGTATACCGTAGGGCCCGGGCCCGGGCCCATATCAGCCAAGACCCAAGACCTGCCAGACAGATAAACTTCCTTCGCCAGCAGATGATCACAATAATGACGCATCGTCGTATTTTGACTACTCTACATGAAAGCGCCGACCCTTCTCTTCGAGCTCTTCGACATCCTCCAATCTGGGTCCTCATCTCATCCGTCCGGCCCTGGAGCCGAAGTGCCTATTCGGGAGTCACGTACTCGCGTCGTAGGATGTAGTAGTACAATTAGTTTACCTACTGACCGTAGATCTTGCGTCTCTCTCTTCCTTGGCCGGAAAGTAGGCCGGAAGGACTCCGAATGCCTAAGTTATGAATGATAAGTATACCTGGGTGCCTACCTTACTGACATGAGTTCTTGAAAAGTCAGTTAGACTCGTTGCTTTACCTATTTATTTCCACACCGCGAAAAAAGCATGCTCCTGCGAGCCCATGGTGGCACTGCCTCAGTGGATCAAGTACTCTAGCTGCACCGAGTACCATGGCCGAGATCTCGAATCGCCCCCAGTCCGTTCCTCTGTAATCCCGTTCACATACAGTACAACGTACCTATAGGTAGCTAGTTGTACCTGTACGTCGGGGCACCTCAGATCGATAACATCCAATCGAAAATTGACACCTCAAAAGTGTCTATTGTCCGTACATCTGCAGAGTGCTGCTCTAGTCTATTATATACTGTACTGTAGGAGCTGCATTAGCTTTCGCAACTCTCACAAAACAAGGAGTCTCCAAGGATACTTTACTTTACAAGGCTGAACGCTGTACCATTCCACCGCCCCTGATACCAACCACCTTCCAGAAACCGCTTGGTCCCCCCTTCGTCCGTAGTCGTAACTTCGTAAGGTTCCGTCTGCTCCGCTCCGCCTCCTGCAATCGAATCCTTCCTTCACAGCTCGATCCCAGCCTGTCTCTGCACCAACCGCCCACCACCTGCATCTGCCTCTTTTGTTTTCTCGTGCCTCGTTTGCCTCGCCACCATCACAAGAAACCCAAACATACCTACTCAGACAGTCATGCACGCAATTTGAATCAATGTGCCAAATTCCGTGATGATGGATTCCAGGTGGCTGCGCGTACTAGGCGTTGCTGCATCGCTCGTTCGGTGTGCCGAGGGGGACGGGAAGGCCTTGAGCGTGCCTCCCAGCGAGAAATGGTATGGTGACGATGGGACGTGGAGCGCTGTATCACTACGCGTGGGGACGCCTCAGCAATGGATAGATGTCATGGTGAGCACCGCAAGCTCGGAGACGTGGGTCGTCGGCGATGGCGGATGTGGTCCTGGTGGTAAGTGGTTTTCGGTTCCTTCGTTGGGTTGTTGGCTTGTTGTGTATGGATGGTATGGACAGCTGTTGGCTACTCACGTGGTTGGCATCAGCTTCGCCGTCGTGGTTGTTCTACTCTAGGTCCCTCTTTGAGCCTCTTATCCCTCATCACCCTCTACATATTTCTCACGACGCTTCGAAGCCCTTCTAACTCTCCGGTGCTAGATACGCAGTGCGTCTTCACGAGAGGGGGGACTTTCGCTCCATCAAAGTCCTCGACATGGAAAGACCAAGGACTCTACGAGCTCGGAGCCAGCCAACAGCTGGGCAACAACGGAGTTGGATTGTATGGTCTTGACACTCTGACTTTTGGCGGCTCTGGCGTTACTATCTCATCTGCTATTATTGGTGCTTTCAACGGGACTGGGCCAATTCATGGGGCCTCATATTTGCTGGGGTTTTTCGGTGTCGGTATTATTCCTGGAGCCTTTAACAATATCGCTCCATTGAGTGCCGTCAGTGCCTTGGTCGAAGAAGTTGGGGCTATACCAAGTTATAGCTGGGGGTATACCGCTGGAGCGCATTATCGTAAGACTTGGTCCATACCTAGATCCCCCAACGAAATACTAATAATAAACAGGACAAAAAGGGACAGTCGCTTCCTTAACACTTGGTGGTTTCGATCTCAACCGCTTCATCAACCACGATACAAACTTCAACCTGAACGCGGCAAAGCAGCTTTTGACTTCCATCAACAAAATCACCGTTTCCTCTTCCCAAGCTTCCAACAATTGGACCGCCCCAGTGCAACTCTTGAGCACCACGGATCAGGTATCCGCGGTATTTGACAGTTCCACTCCATTCTTGTGGCTACCGCCATCAGTTTGTGAGCGCTTTGCAACGGCTTTGGGCTTGAGTTACAACACTTCACTGAATCTGTACACTTTTGACGACAATCCATCTCAGCATGATGTACTCGCTGCATCGCAACTTTCCTTCACGTTCACCTTCGCCGACATGTTATCAGCACCATCCACTGTCGACATCACACTTCCATACGACGCTTTCGATCTACAGCTTAAATATCCTGCAATCCCTGGCACCGGTTTCGGCGACCCGGACGCTACTAAATATTACTTTCCATTGCGTCAAGCAGAAAACGAGGCTCAGTACACCATCGGTCGAGCCTTCCTACAAGAAGCATACTTAATCGCTGACTACGAACGCAACACTTTCTCGATCTTCCAAGCACTCCACCCTTCAGACTCGGTTACCAATACTAGCATTCACGAAATCAATCCACCCTCAGACAGCCCTTTGACCGGCGGCCCAGGAACACCCAAAGCTTCAAAGCTCACAACAGGAGCGATAATAGGTATATCAGCTGGTGCTTTTGTTAGTGTTGCTTCTATGGCCGTTGCCATTGTCTATTTATGTTTCCGCAAACGACAGAAGCAAGCAAGAGACAGCGATTCCGAGAAGTCATCCTCTTCGTCACCCTCCTCGCTACCTCGCAGCGGATCTCCCCTTGACCACGAGGTTAATCACAAAGCGACTCCTCCACCAATTCATATCCACGAAGTTGATGGCAACACATCCTACCCAACTGAGGTCGGAGCAGACGCAACACACGAACGTTTCGAGCTCCCCGCTCCCCTGGGTCCCGTAGAACTCGACGGTGAGTCATGCGGTTCAACGCAAGACTCGTCATATCTCTCCGCCTACGAATGTGCCAGGAGAAAAATGGAGCGGCAGCAAGCAGAATTCGCTGCAACGCAAGGAGCAGGTGCAAGTCCTCCCCGGGTGGAAAAAAGCGAAACGGACATCTCCCACATGGGTCATTACCGCGCCCCAGATACGGAGAACCAGCACTTCCGTGCAAGTACCTCTTCTGAGACGCAAGGAGATTCTCCGCCCATATACGACAGGATCAACCCAGCGAACGTTGTATATGCTGGACGACTGCCTGATAATGTGCAACCTCCCGGTCTTGCACCCCCTCTATTTGGGCGCGATGGTCGAGTGTATCGCCCCGAGGTCTCTGGTCCCCCGCCTGACATGAACACAAATAGCTCGCTCGGAAGCGAATTGACTTTCGATGCTTTCTACAGGAACCTCTGCAGTGAAAGCTCCGGTTCAAATACGGACCTCTATGGTGCAAGCACCGGATCAATAGGCTCGCATCTTGTGTCTCCCTTACAGAGTGCCCCATCAGAATCCGGAGCTCGCATCGGGGGTACGAATACCGTATCTCCGCTGGATAACTCGTCTCCAGATGCACTGTGGTCTGAAAGGGCGGGATATGCACAAGGGGGATCGAGTCGGGAGAACCCGGTCTTGGATCAATTGAGTAGCAGGAACAGGCTAGATGGAGAGGATTTGATCCATGTGCCACAGCTTGCCGAAAGGAGATTCAGTTGGGAGCATGAACGGACAAGGACCTGAGGGATAGCAGATGCAGGTTGGTAATTTAGCATGCTGAAAGGCAGAGATCTGGGCTTAGCGTGGCGTTCTTTGGATAGGCTCTCGAAGCTTAGAAAACAGTCGAAATTGGGACTCCTGAAACAGGTTCCAGCCTGCCGAGACAGGTCCCCAGACGGCTGGACTCCGTAATTGTTCTTTGTATACCTATAACCCACTCCTGGTCTAGAGAGAGAGAATGGACAGGTACATAATTACCGGTTCATATTTATCACAGAATGCAATATTATAAAAGCAAGATAAGCCCGCCACAGGTCTTCTTGAGCTTTGCAATTTGTGCCAGTGATGGTATACAGGCAAGAGAACCGATGGCCTGAAGCTCTGCATCCATCACCACGTAAGCATAGGCGCATAAGCCCGGACTCCCTGGCTCCGTTCATGACAGACAGGAAATGACTTTGTTCACACATTTGTTTCTAGATCCTGTGTATAACTTTGCACATATGTGGGCCAGTATCATACACAGTATTTAGGCCGACGACTGAAGAGCTTCGAAAGATTAAGAGAGAGCTCATAGCTATAGCCGAAACATGGTACATACGTCAGCGCTGGTATGGACTATAAACGAATGAATCGTGCCTTCCGTTTCCAGTCGCAGACCAGTCCACTCCAGTGCAGTCCAGTCCATCTTCGTCATTACCTTACGCATCTCTCAAGCTGCCCCCCTTTTCTCTCATCTCATCTCAACACAACCTTCGCATCAACACATTTCACATCCGTACCCATATACATCCTCAACCCAGAGCAACCAGAAGCCTCCCTATCGCCTAGGTATCTCTCGTCACCTACCTACCTACCTACCTACCTACCTACCTACTCATCACCATGACACCGCCACCCACCCTCACAACAGGTACATACACATCCATCCCCCCTCCCCCACCCATTTCCACAACCCCGAGCCCAACTCCCACATCCTGCAGACTTCCTCCGCCTGACCCAGAGCCCGGCGCCCTCCCTCGATGCTACAGCCAAGTCAAAACGGCACCCGAGCCTCTACGCCATCACGCCCCTCGTCGAAGCCATGCCCAGAGACGACCCGTTCGAGAAGCAGGTGGTGACCGGCGACCCGCTGAGTGGGCGGAAGGTCGCGAGTCGGGTGTCGACGACGAATGAATGGGGTATGTCCATGCCCATGTCCATATCCATGTCCATATCTTCCCCTCGACCCTCTCAGCCGCGAACTTTCTGTGGGCGGTGTATAGTCAGGAGCGTGTGGTAACCCAATCCTACCCCTCATGCTTTATGGCCCCGTGAAATGATGAACGATAAATCTTGAAAAACGAGAAGGCTGACGAGTGCTGTTCCAAAAATCCAGATGCCTCCAAGACCCCACCGTCGCAATTCCAGAAGCTCAAAGGCAGTATCTACGCTACGCAAGGAAGTCGGGACGGACACGTGGACAGGAACACAGACAGAGATGCCAAGTACCATGCCACGCTGGTGGAGAAGGGGTGGGCGAAGATGACGGGGAGTAGGAGAAGGAGTCTAGCTGATAAGGGAGAGAAGGGCGGGGAGAGAAAAGTGGACGGCATGGAGAAAGATGTGAGGGACGGGAAGACAGAAGGGGAGAAGTGAGAAGGAAGCGAGAGAGGAGGTTGACGGATAGAACTGTGGTTTTGAGACGGCCGTTGTAACTGACTGTTCACTGACAATTTGAAACTCGTAGAAGATGGGCGGAATGGATATGAAGAGGCTATCAGAGCGAAAGCAGTGTTGGTTATCGGCCCAGGATTGTTTGTAGAAATTGATAGACAGGAAGAGGGAGTTGATTTTAAAATTTTCGGGTCCTACGCATGTCTCTGCGCTATGCCTTCTCATCATCTCAAGCTGTACCATTAGTACCAATACCTCCATACCGTACAAAGGGCGCTCATTCTTCTGTGCCCCGACTTGCCCTCGGCTGTCATGATGAGGCAATTGGGAGCCCACCTCAAACGCCATCCATCCTATGCACAGAGCTGGATCCAGCAGCTAGATATGTCAGTCCAAACTCCCATATGCAGTCGTGCCTACTTCCTCACGATATTCTTTTCCAGATGTACCGCGACTCTCTCCAGGTACATTGAAAGCGAGGCTCCGAGGCAACCGAGTCGGAGCCTGCCAAGATTCCAACCATCGTTCCTACATGCGCCGCATTTGTCTGAGGACATGTTGAAAATAGGCTCAGTCATCGTCCATGCCATCCACGTCGATGGCATCCGGATTCGTAGCTACAACCGGCGCATCGCCGTTGCTGATGTTGCCTACTTGCGGGCCAGTACTTGCCGCCACGAAACCAACGGGTGCTCTGGCCTCACGTTCCAGAGCAGCCATCGCGTCGGCGCGCTCCTCATCCGTCGCTCCCTCTGGTTGTGCTTGGCTACGTGCCAAAGCCTGAGAGGCGATGAAGTTGACGTCGGTATTATACTGTTAGAACGAGTGATCAGTAATTGCATGTTAATATGTTCCCTGAGATCTTGAAAATCTGGATAGACAAAATATGCTCTCCCTTTACATACCTGCGCCTGGACACTTCTCTTGATCCGCAGCATCTCCTTGAAGGTATCTTCGTTACCATGCTGCACCTCGAAAGACTCCCATTTCGTCCAAAACTGTGGGCTTGTACGAGGATCGCAGAATTGCGATGCATGGCCGTAGATCGCTCTTGCCCGATCGATTTCGCCCAATCGTTTCTCCATATCGGCGAACTTCATGCACATATCGCGAGCATCCTTGTCAGGCAGTGCTGCAATTGCGCGTTCGTAAATGGGTCGTGTAGATGGCAAGCCAAAGTTCGAGGCAGACTTCGTGATGTAGAAGTTGAACATATCTGCGCGGTCTTCATCTGACACTGCTCGGGTCGCGCGCTCGTATATCCGCATAGCGTGCCTGGCGAGGCCCCTCTCCTCTTCGAGATTTCCATACATCAAGTACAACACCTTGGCAAATTTTGGGGGGCAGCCTTCCACTGCTTGCTCAAAAAGGTCTCTCAGTCGCTCGATGCCAATCTTTCGGTCCACGGCCTTGGTCAGGTACAGATTCCACAGCTCAAAAGCGACTGGGTAGCTGAACAAGTCCAGACCTCGCTCGTATATCTTGAAAGACTCCTCAAAGTACTTATTTTCCTCCATGAGATTAGCATAGTTGACCACAGTCTGTGGTGTCGCAATGCGGAGCTCGAATATCCTCTCGTAGACCTTCTTCGTCTCCTCCAGCGTACTGACACTCTCAACCAGATCCACATAGAAACTCCACAGCTTCCAGCTTTTGTGAACTCTTTGCTGTGGAGAAAGTGTTTCATCGAAGTAGTCGACGGTCGATCGTTTCGGGGCTTGAACGGCTTTGGCCATGATTTTTACGGCTTCTTCAAAGTTTTCATTTCTCAACTCCATTTCTGCCCATTCAATCCACATATCAGCAAGCTCAGCTACCGACTTAAATGGGACCTTCACAGCTTTCTCCATGATGACTCGCGCATTCCGAATGTCACCACCCTTTTCGTAGAACTTGGCGTAATTGGCCCATAATTCGTGGAATCGGCCCACAGCCTTCTTCGGTTGTACTGCAGCAATTGCATCTGTATATGCTTGCACCACTTCCTGCTTATTGTCGCCCCACAATCCTATCCTAACGTTCCACTCGGAAACATTGTTGGGGTTCTGCCGGAGTAGCACATCGTTGATCAAAAATGGTCGTCGGTCCATCAGCTGCTCGAATCGCATCATGCGAATGTCCAGGTCGAAGTCGGCATTCTCGTCTACAATTCCCTTTTCTGATCGAGCCGCAGCATTTTCCATGAGCTGCCCTGTGATTGCCTCCTCGAACTCGACGTAGGCGTCGAATATCAGGGTAAAATCTCGAGCGGTCATGACTGTAGTGATACCCTCTTCGAAAATATCGCGAGCCCTCTCAAAACTTCCCCTCTTGATCCAGTATGTCGCCAAAGCGGACCATAGTTGGCCTCTCTGGTCCGCGAACCGGTCAATACCGCTGCGAATGATCTTCTCCACATCGATTCCGACCTCATCCCCAGTTTCAACGGTTTTTGCATGACCCACAAGTATATCGACCATTTCCATCCATAGTTGATAGTGGCCTTTGCTGTTCTTGCTCCGGAATTTCGGGTTGTTCAAAACGTCCATGTACTTCTTGACAGCTTCCGTGTAATGGCCCATCTCAATCAACAGCTCAATGAAATCCTCGATATCCTCGGGGTGGATTTGAATGTACCGCCTCCAAATTATCACTGCAGTCTGTCCGGATGCCGAATTGGCGAAAGGTCTGTAAAGCGCCCATATGCGATTGTGTTGGGTCATAGGCAAAGCTCGGAGAGCACGGTCGAACGTTCTTCGAGTGAGTGTAACAATCGGCTGGAGTAACAAGAACGACAGGTACATCTCCCATATACGCGGCATCTTGTTGAGGAGAATCAAGGCTCGTTCGTACAGGGCATTCACCTTAGCATACTCGGATTTGTAAATAGCCGGATTTAGCTTTCCAAGGTGTTTCATTCGCAGAGTCAAGTACTTTTTCAAGTCAGCATGATACACTCGTAGAGAAATGGAGAGGGTATATGCACCATCTTCCACAGCTTGTAGGACCGTGGGAGTTGCCGGCAGGCTCTCTCGAGGACGAATGCCTGCTCTTGAAGGTTGCCATGTTGAAACTTGAACTCGATGTATGCCAGCCAAGGCTTCGTGCTTCCCGGGTCTCGGAGGATATCTTGCTCGTAAATTGTATCTTCTTCGGACTGCAGGATTATCAGCGACTCGGTTCGCGCTCCAGAGGCAATTGCGCTGCGTAGCTTACAATGAGATACAAGTCTGCGTTGGCCCGTGACAGCTTCGATTTCGAGACGCTGGGAGCAGCCATTGTTGGCAGAAGCTCACCAGGCATTCTCTGCCTGCTGCGATATCTGGCGACAAAATGGAAGCGATTCAAGAGGAGGAGATGTTTGAAAGGACGTTATAAGCCAGTCGGGAAGGAGCTTGTTTGAGAAATCCGAAATAAGGGTGATTGATGCCTTGCGGGTCAGGCATCATGTCTAGTGTATCTTGGCGCGACGATAGCTTTCGACAACAGCAGCTTATCGATCGGCAAGTTGAGAAGAGCCTCGAAGTTGTCTAGATTCCGGCTACCCCATTCCTTTGCTTCCTTGCCGACCAAGTCCTCAAGCTTGTGGACAGGCTTCTCAAAAGACACTTCTTGACCAAATACCACCCGTCGAGATGTCGGGAGCAACTGTAAGACAGGCTGCACTGCCCAGTGCCAACTCCCAGCTCACAGCTTAATAGAATCGAGAGGCTGTCTTTCCTACCCGTCAGTCCTTGGGATTGATGAAAGCAAAGCTGAAGGGAGCCCAAACTGGCCACGATCTGCTGAAGAGAAAGAGTGAAGCTTTGACAAAGTACGTCAAGGTCGAATTTCAAATGACCAATAGCTAATGAACCGCACCAGACGTTTCCGAGGTATTTACAAGAGCTGCGACACTCGTCTAAGCCTGACACTTTTCAGAAATCACAAAACGCATCGATGAAGCTAAACGCAAAATGGGAAGAGTTATGCAGATTGCGGCATTCTCGCTGGCAGAAGTGACCTATGCGGTAGGAGGAGACATTGGCTACCAAGTCCAGGAGTCTGTAAAGTCGGCCCGGTTTCGTGTTCGCACGAAGCAAGAGAATGTTTCCGGTGTATTTCTGCCAGCTTTCGAGAGCTATACCACGGACGGGAACAATGACTTTGGCTTGACGGGTTTGGGGAAGGGTGGACAACAAGTCCAGAAGTGTCGAGAGACATATGCCAGAGCTGTTGAAACATTGGTGGAGCTCGCCAGTCTGCAGGTATAGGGGAATCTGTGCAAAAATTCCGGATCATAGCTAACTTTGCAGACTGCTTTCGTCACCTTGGACGAGGTCATCAAGGTTGTAAATAGGAGAGGTCCGTTCTGGCTTATGTTCCTTTCCATGACGTCTTGCTAACCTTCATGTAGTAAACGCAATGTGAGCTGAGATTCAACCAGTGCATCAAACTTGATACTAATCAGTCCCAGCGAGCATGTCATCATCCCAAGAACCGAAAATACCATTAAATGTATGTTTGGTCGAGATTTTACCCTTAACAATGCTGACAGTTTCTAGATATCGAGGCCGAGCTTGGCGAGATGGACCGAGAAGAGTTTTTCAGATTGAAGAAGGTAAGCTTCCTACGCCAGCCACTACTACGCCTCACTAACTCGTGCTTCAGGTCCAAAATAAGAAGCTGAGAGACACAGCAGCTCAAGACGCGGAGATGTTGGAGAAGCGAGAGAGACTAGCGAAGGAAGCTGCGGGCGAAAAAGATGGCGGTGACAAGGGAAATTCGGCCAACCCAGACATACTGGGGGAGTCAGAGGACACAGATGTCATTTTCTGATCCCTGTACCTGTAAAGCGTTCTTAAGTATGTATTTCACAGTCGCTGTAGTATTAGCGGGTAACAGATTGGCCGAAGCATGATAAAATTCTGCTGTTCTTTTCCTACCAACGTCGAGGGTTGAAAGGAACATTTTATATCCAGTACCTTCCAGACCTACTGCCTTTGATAGGTAACTTTCATGACCTGTCCCTGGCCCAATGACATGCCCGCTGTATTCTCTTTTGCGCTAATAGCACCGACCTCGGCATCATACTCCACGAAAGCAATACCTCTACGACCAGGCACCAATCTGACTTCTCTAAATCCCTCAAAGCGACCGAAGATTGCAGTAAGAGAGTCTACATCGTAATCCTCCGGCAAATTCTGCAAAAACAGGATCTTATTCGGAGGCAGGTATTCGTCGGGGATAACAGCCGCAGCACCGGCATTCGTAGACTTGAGCCCAGCACCACGAGTCGCCTTGATCGGTCGCGCGCCCATATCCGGTGCCATGCCAGGCGGAGCGGTATGCTTCAGTCTCTTCAGTTCCTCCGCTTGCTCGGCAGCCTTCTTCTTGTCTACTTCACATTAGCCCAGCCCGTTCCATTCCAGAGGCACAGTATCAGCATACCCTTCTCCGCCAGCCGTCTGCGCTTATGACTCTCCAGCTCGTCGTCGCCCGCCGTCCGCTTCACAAACGCATCGCTCCTCGTCTTCGCGAACGCCAGCTGCATCGGCTTGCCGAAGAGGTCGAAGCCCTGCACCTCCTCGATACACTGCGTCGCGCTCTCCACATTGTCGAACACCACGAAAGCTTGGCCCTTGGCTTTCAGGTTCGCCTTTGCGACGACGTCGATGATGGTGCCGTACTCGGAGAAGATCTCCTTGAGGGATTCAATGAGGGTGGGGATCTTGATACTCTCTTCGAGATTGCGGACGTAGACGCTAAGGATTGTTAGTTGGAGGTTGGCAGGGCAAACGGGAGGTACGTGTCGGAGTGCAATGACACGTACGTTGCGTTTGGTGGAGGGCCACCGGGGGGTATTGTGGTTGCCATTTGGTGGTTGTAGGTGTTGTATATGTCATGAGGTGTTCGGGGCTTCTTCAAGTCAGCCTTGAAGCTCGCCGCCAGGATTCTAGCTACAAGCTTGGCACCTCGCTTCGAGGGGGAGCTGGACGACCTCTCCTGATCCCAACCTTATCTCAACACTACGAGTTTCCTTGTACCGGTCAAATCTTTAGATTGACTCTAGTTCCAAAGATGTTGTCTAGGGTATCAATTTTATTAGAATATATACTTTGAACCATGCAATCAGGACTGTCCACACGTCAAAATATCACCAACCATCTTCCTCTTCAAATTAGCAAAGAATATTTCAAGACTACCTGCACGCCAAATGGCTATTGAAAGCCTTTGGGCCTCAGTAAGGCATAAATTCGGTGGAAGACAGTATAACATTTGCATCAATCCCTCTTTAAGGTCTTTCTATGACTTCAATGTTGCGTGAAGGTTGGCTACTCATAGTCCAGGAACGTACTGCAAAGTTCTGTAAATACCAAGAGAGGTTTGGCTGCAATCAAGTCATTATCGTTTACAGATGTCACATTTCCTACAGTAACGGTATGATTGCCAGGGATTCAAATTTCGTGGTAACCCGCGATGTTGGTGAAAACTTTTTTCCATTTGTTGATATTAAAATCAGGCAGTACCAAGATACATACCGTACACGAACGATCAAGAGATTTCGAAAGGCAAACAGGTGAATCAGCTCAAAGCCTTAAAGTATCGATTCGTTCTCGACTCCCATAGAACCCCCCCCCCCCCCCAACCCTCTCCCCCCAATAGCGAAGATTCCAAACTGAAGTTTCCACGTCCCCAAGACCCTCTCGGGCTGTCACCACGCGTCCCAAATCCAAGCTGTAAATTCCGACTGGGAGTTCAAGATTGGGGAGTTTTCGAAATCCAAGAGGCACACTTTAATGCCCAAGCCTCGGCGGCCTCCTCGTGCGGGAGAGGTTTAGCGGCGATGAGAGTAGCAGGCACCTCGTCTGGCTTTGGACAGAAACCTCGAGGCTTCACTCCATCCCGGATCTCAAGGCAGGTGTTTAGAAGAGAAGCTAATGGTTCGTTGAGCATTGCTGACAGGTAGTACGGGCGCGATGGCGATGGCGATGGTTCAGTGCCAAGACTCGGAGGTGAACTAGTGGTCGTCGGATAAAGCTTGTTCCGCAAGGGTTGACCCATCGGAGCTTGCACGTTGCCTTTTCCTCGTAAACCTCCCCGTCCAGCCTTGAAGTTCAACTCCTCCTCGGAGAATGCCAGTTCAGGTTCACTTTGCTCTTCTTCGGAACGTTCTTCTTCTTCTGAATCCTCTTCTTCGAATTGATCTTGGAATACATATGTCTTCATACCTTCACCGAGTGGTCGAATTGGTAATTGTTCGCCCGGTGTGCCAAAGGTGAAGTCGTCTTCGGCGCTTGCTGGAGGCGTGTGCTTGGGGACACTCCCCGAATTCCAAGGTGAACTATGGTGGAAGATGTCGTAACCTGGCACCTCAACGATAGGTATACGTGGTTTCTGCGTTCTTTTTGCTGCTCGTTTTGCTGTTCGTGTTGCTGTTGGTTTTGCTGCTCGTCTTGGCGTTGGGATTTTGTTGGCGGAGTTGTCATGATTTTTCTTCTCTGTTTCATCGTCCAAGTCCATATGTTGCAAAGGGTCGCGGGTAGCTATGTGACAATCAAAACGGAACTCGAAAGGATCCGAGAGTTCGTCGGTGCTAGTAACACCTTCTGTGACCATATCTCCCGGAGTCACATCGTAGCCTCCTTGCCATGGAGCACTTCCAAGGTTGCAGTGTTCTAGATCAAGCAATATCTCGTCCCTGTAGGCGGATGAAGTCAGCAATTTTCACGACGGGAATGCTCGGCGAAGAGGACGAAACATGGTGCCAGAAATCCTGGGATTATTCAAAACAAGGCACCTACGGGGTTTGCATGGCGTCGGTCATCTCGTAATCCTTCATCAACGGTGGCGTAACAATATGTTTGGTCGTGGTGAACCCCATGCGATGGTACCACTGTTGATAAGTGTTAGCCACCATAAATTTGGGTGCGCAAATATCTCAGGAAAGATATTACCTTTCTCTTCTTCGTTCTGGAAGCAGCGCAAGCACTCGTCTTCTGTGTCCCCGGAACCCCAAGCTCCTTCTTCTCATTCTGTCGCGTCTTCTTTAGTAGGGAGAAGAGCCTGGCGGCAAGCTGCTCACGACGTTTTGGATCTGGTCCTGCAGGTGGTCCTGTCATTTCGTTGCGTTACTCTGTATTGCGTGTGTTATATGCGACGGTGTGATCGTATGCCGTTGCTCTTGCAAAGACTCCGGAGTTGGTGCTGTTGGAGAAGGAGGGCGGTGATGAATTTTGGGTCGAAAGAAGTAGAAGTTCACTTCACTTTTCGCGTATTATCACGATTCACTCGCCTTCTATTGTTCCGCGTACGCGCTTCCACAGTAGGAAAGGAATTTGCTTTGTACAAAATTTGAAACGCGTTGTCTGTAGAGCTGTATTGTAATCTTCGCCAAATATAATGGTACTTCCTTCGAAGCAGTTGCAAGTGGGATTCGGGCAGCGTAATTGGCCTCAATAACGAGTAATGTCTCTTGGATCAGCTTCCGATTTTTTTTCTACCTAATAAATTGCAAGTTCGGCTCGTAGGCTTTTCTTATATAAGCCAATGCTGCAAATTTCCGCCAGATCTGAACTACTTTTCTCCCTCAGCAAAAGGGAGAGGGACCCAGCGGCCAACACCTCCGGAACAGAAGTATTGATGAGGTTCAGATTTGTTGGGATTTGGGTACAAGCTAACAAACAAGCGTTACTCGTAACTCCCCTGACAGGTCAGGATGTCACTTTTTCTGCGTCGCCCAGCGTACTATTTGGCGTGGCTGTCAGAGCTTGGAAAACAGAAGTCCAGCCAGGATTCAAGGATCAGACCCTCTATCCAAATTTTCCTCCTTGGTTCGTATCTCAATATTCTCAACACTGGTTCTGGCCTGTTCCGAGGCCGCCATGTGTCTCCCCATCACTTAGGTTGTGTTGGGGTATTCTTGCGATAACCTAGTACTCAAATTCGATGAGATCAACAAATTCTACCGTTGATCTGTCGCTGGCGCTCTCCTTAGTATTTCGCATTCTGAGGTCGAATCACCGCTAAACCGCGTGCAGAAGCTGAGTGCTTCCATTGACTGATTCCGATATACCCAGGCTTTGTATTCTGTGACCTCGGAAACAGTAGGCGGTTGTGGCGAAATGTGTCTTCGCGGATCCTCGACGTGATTATTGAAGTCGGGCATTCGGCCGTCCGCATTTTATTCACTGTAACTGCTATTTTTGCAGGCATGCAACGTATCGTGCAACCACTGTATTATTGAGATACTGGTAGACGCTCGTTCCTCCATCTTCCGACGGTAGATTTGGAGTACAATTTATTCAGGGACAAGAATAAAGTTGGGAGTGGGTTATTGCCCGATCGTGCTTGCTGCATCGAACCCAAGAACGAACCTCTTCAAATTTTCAGACACATCTAAAGGTTTTTTAAGCTGTCCCGGGTATTGCTGCGATCAATCAATTACCTGCCTCTCTCGAAAAGTAAATGAAACGTGTATCACGATATCCAAGTTCCAGCTTACCTTAAATGAGCCCCATGAGATCAAAGGCAACAAACAGCACGGCGTAAACGCCCGGCCAGAACGTGAAACAGAGGCCGATTTGCTATCATGCTCCCTCTCGTAGACGTTAGAAGATCGATCCGGTCTGCTTTGGCGATGGCTTACCTCGCAACTCCAACGTAGGAAGAGTAAGCGCTGCTACTCATGGATCGGCATCATGGCAGCGGAAGAGAGACCTGGAATATTGGGCTCAGATTGTTTGTCGTCATTACAGTCAACAGAAAGCCGTCAAAAATAAACAGTACTGTCGTCTTAATCATGGAATTGATCGACCCTGCAAGTACGCCTAAGTATCGAATGCAAATATTTGATGATGCTCTCTCTGCATCAGCTTGTTATTAGCTTGTATTTATCGACCATGTATGTGCTTAATCTCCCCAACCACGGTTTAGTTCAGAACAAAAAAAAGCAGAAAAAAAGAAAAGAAAAAAATAGCAAAACTCAACTGGAAACCCACAACAATACCATGCATGTTATGAGGTTCCAGTTTACAAACCTAATTGAATAGGTTTTTCGGTGCGCTCCTCTCCTCGTTGCCCTAGAAAGGGTACTGATGAAAGGGAGCTGGCCTACTTTACCAATCGACTTATGTCAAGATGGTCTCCGGTTTGTTAAGCGTGAGCTATAGCCATCGAGCCATTATGACGGTTCGCCAATTGATACCTCTATGACTGGAAACCACTTATCTAAAGTAGGTAAATTATTTTCCGGCCGGTAAGCGAGAGAAGCCATCTTCTTTTCGCGCAAGTTTCGCGTCATCTATTGATTGTTAAGAGGATTTGACGTGTACAGCATTTCTATCTTTTGCTGCTTCGGCGGCTGTTTCTGATAGATGGTTTGCATGTGAGGTTACAATCTCGTTTTATTGCATGGTAAGTAAAGTAATAAGCCACTAGAGATAGAAATCAAGAACGTCTACTACATACTTCTTCCACCAGTCAAAAAAGAAAACCCCAAACCCCTCTAAGCAGTTCAAGCAGTTACCCCATCATGTCTCACACACATCCTGCAAAGCCTCTCTCTCTCTCACACACTCATCCCCTGCCCTCAACATTCTCTCCGCCCTCTTCCCTCTGCTCACCCACTTCCCGCTCCATTTCTCCCTCCAACCCAGGCCGCGGCAGCCCATTCTCAAACCCCAAGCTCGAGCCCAGGCCTAAGCCGCCAGGCGCCGGCATGCCCATCGCATCCGGCGTCGGCCTCCCATCAATGAACCCCACGTACGGACTCGCATACACGCCTCGGCCCGTATACCCCATATTCGCAAGTCCATGTGCGACACCACGATCACCCTCACTGCCAAGCTGCACCCGCGGAGCCTGCGCGTACGTGTTGTAACCCTGCATAGCTCCCTGCCCCATCGCCATCTCCATACCCTGTCCGGGAGCTACCATCTGCGTGGCTGGCTGAGAAGGCGAGGGAGCAGCAGACCTCTGCTGAGCAGCATGTGCCTGCGTATGAGCGTGAGCCAGAGCGCGGCGCTTGCGCAGCGGAATCTCGTCTTCGGAGTTGGAGGCTGAAGCTGATGAGGAGCCGGAGAAGGAAGAGAAGGGGGAGGAGGCGGCAGAGGACCAGTCGCTTTTGTGCTCCGTCTTGATTTCACTCTTTTGTTTTTCCCGCTTGGCTTTGTTTGCGGGCTTGCTGTTTCCGGGCCCGAGGTGAGAGGGATGGGAACGGTAGCGCGAGTGGTGAGGGGGAAGGTGTTTCTCGTCCCCGCCGTCAGAGCTGTTCCCGCCGCCGCCGCCGCCACTGCTTTCTTGGGATTTTTTGATCGCGCGTTTACGTTTCACTGCGATCGGAGCCGCTTTAAAGTATGAAGCAGAGGTTGATGGAGATGATGAGTGGGGATGTGAAAGGGAAGAGGGTTGGGGGGAGGGCGACAGGGTGGGCGAGGAAGGCGCTGCGGGCGTGGTGTGCGTGAGGAGGAGGCCGGACTCGATTTGACGTTTTAGGCGTGTGTAGCGCATTCGTGCTGCCGGAGGCTTGAGTGAGGTGGCGAGGCCGACGGCGTTGAAGTCAATCTTTGGCGGGCGAGTGTTAGTTATGTGCCTTTGAAGGGGGTAGATATGTGAGATGTAGAGGGTTCGAGAAGGAGAGGAGAGAATGTGGAAATGGGAATGCTTACGGCTTTCAAATCTGACTTCTGGAGGCAGATATAGAGGAACCACAGGTTCTCGTCGAGTTGAATCTTGGAAGGCATGAATTGCTAGAGAAGAATGATGATTGAGCTGAGTTGGTCGTGCCTTGCTCAGAGAAGTACCAGACCAGTGAGATGAGATACCTTGAACTTTGAAGAATTCGGTTCTGGCAAGTATGGGAGGGTTCTCCAAAAGAGTTTGGGGGGAAGGGGATATTGAAAAGACAGGAAATTAAGAGAAACCAGAGGAACTATTGGTTGTTTATAGAGCAGTGAAGCTGGCACGCTTGTTCCGCACAAACTGTAATGCTTTGACACTTGCCGCAGACGATACACAAGCAACATGGAGAGGCAGAAAGAAGGAAAGCAGATCCAAGGAGCAAAGCAATCTTCCACATTGCATCCCCTCAAAGGAAATAAAAAAAAAAGCTGGAAATGCAACATGGTATCTTTGAAACTTGAATACACTTCTCACAAAGCACCTTTGAGAAAGATGTCAGACTCTATGCTCGTGCGATTCTTCCGAACTCCAAAACCAGACAGCCAGATCTTCAATGTCACCCTTTTGTTCGCAAACGCCAGATCCTGTACCCATCCAGAAAATCAGAAGTTGTCGACAATACCACCAGCCGAACTGAGGCCATAAGAATGAGCATCAAATTTGCTCATTGAAGATACATTGTCCCAAAAAGAGAGCCAGGACACGCTAGCCCTCACCTACTGCTTTCCCAACTTCATATTAGCAGTCTCCTTCAAAGCCGCCACAAGCACTCGGTGCGAGCCCAGCGCAGCTTGTACCGCATTATCAGCCAGCTCCTCAAATGAAGTTGTCTGAGCCGTATTAATTGACCGGTCTCCATGCCCAATTTCCCCTTTGACCCATAGATCTGTAATTTCATCTCGAGCAGGCAGGTAGGCAACAATGCAAGCGGCAAGGATCTCCTGATGCTCAGATGGAACAGGATCCAGAACCAGCGTCGATTGCTTGCTTTGGTTGTTCTTAACCACAGCTGCTACGCCACCAGAGACGGCATCCACACAATCAATACCCGCATCGGCAATCGCAGCTGAAGCAACTGTGATGCACCCACTGAGAACACTCATCATGCCCCATTCTCCTGCGGTGGTAGACCCTCCGCGGTCGTCGCCCCACCATTGGTCTTCCTCGCCTTCAAGGATGGTAATTATGACTTCCACTCCGCTCTTGGGCCATCTGTCTCCGATGATCACACCCCTGAGAGCGGTTTCCAAGTGTACGCTCAGATCTCTCTCGCTCGAGTCCCGCAGATAGCCTCGTCTCTTCCGTGTAGCGAAAGGGGCATATTTAACGTGTGTAGAGAGTATTATATGAGGCGAGAAAGGCGCAGACTTGGGGAGAGGGCGAGGGCCGTGGACGGTACAGGTGAGCTTCAAGCCGGAGGTCGAGAGAGAAGCAAGGCCGGGGGCTCTGGAGTTGGCTGCTCTTGAAGCCTCAAGTTCCAGGTATGCGGATCCTGAAGCTGAAGGAGTGACGCCAGTCTTCAGGACTAGGTATCATTAATATTTGCTGTAAGATCTAGGGGTTTTGCTTCTCCTACACATCTTCCTCAAAACATTGGGCTGTCTTGCTCTGGAGGGTCTCTCTGTCTGCGATGCAGCATCTTTTTGGATGTATTTGGAGTAGATCGGTGCGGAAGTACCGCCCGAAGGTCCATTGATTCTCCTCCTATCTGACATGGTGTACAATACTCATGAATCGGGCTTTGTAGAGTTCCTGAGACATCTAATATGAATATCAATATCGGTGCTCAAAGCGACTAATTCTTCCAGCCTCGCGACGGAGCTGGAAGAGAAAGGTCTCCGGCTGCGGCCGCTTGGCCCGTGCAGATGGCTAGCGCCAACCAAGTCTTATATTTAAATTTTCGCGACCTCAGTCGCCTACACTTTTCTATGCCATAACGACCTTTCGTTCGGAACTCGCAACTTCGAGTCCGCAGCGGCTGCTGCTTATTTCTCTTGCAAACATCAGCCATGCGATGGACTAATATAGCAATGGTGAGCCTAACTTTGACCTCTGCCCCCTTCCCTGCTCCTGATGATTCCTATCACAACAGTTCTTCGGCGATCTCCTGAGCCACTGAACAACATGCATCACCATCTGAAGCACTCCCACATACTGCGTCTTGCTGCCACACTCTTGTATGTTTCAGGCACTGACTGGCGGTAGATAGGAATATGATGCACGATTCGTAGGGGCGCCCGGGCTCACCCACAACATTCGCGATTCACGTTCCGGGCGCTCGCTCGCGCTGACAGAAAGATGAAGGAATGGATGGCCGCAGGTGCTTGACCCAACTCTGGAGGAGGTGGCCAGTGGACCTACCTTTGAGCCTCACTCCTCCAGCCCCACCACATCTGGTCCGTACCTCTTCTTCCCTGCCGCATGCCCTCCCCAGCTGTTTTCCTGATGAAAAAAATAAATCAGTTCTGCTTCTGAACGCCTTGATGCTAAACCATAATACCAAAACCTTTCTGAAAAACCCGCAATACTATCTAACTACGTTGCAAACCCTGCATGGATATTCGCTAACAGTATCCAGGTGGTCAATGAGCAACCTTCATGCTATACCGCAAGCCCAGTATAAAAGGTACATCTCCGCCATTTCCTCGCCCACCCTCCGCCCTGATGACAACAGCTTATCCATTCCATGAATGCGTCAAGGCCGAGCGCCTCCTTCGTACAGGACCTGTCAATTTATTGATCGGGATGATATGTTGTGAGGTTGTGCGCTTCCGAGCTTCGGTCCTCTGTATTGCGTCTTGTGATGCGGGGGCCTGTCGCCGGCCGTGGTGCTTGAATAAACCGGCTTTTCTGAGCGACATATTCGTGTTCTGAACACATGATCTTTGACTCGTACTCATTGCTGACGGAGGAATAGGTCTTCATGTAAGTTGGTAACGAGGCGCTTGACATGGGGAAGCTCTCTGGGTTTAGAATACGATTGGCTGGTTGGCATCTGAAGTTAGAAACTACTACGTAGAAGGAGTTATTGAATTTAGAACAATCAAGTGAAATCCGTTGTGCCACATTCGTCTAATATGCTTGTTTCGTCTGGTCACTGAACTGAAAACTGCATGGCTTCCTGGTGCTTGGTCCCCCCCGGCCTATCCGCTCCCTACTCTGTATGCGCAAGGCCAGACCTCATTTTACTTAGCGCGTCTATCGGGTATCTAATCGGCGAAATGAGACAATAAGGAAGTTAAAGACAAATCCTCTGACTCCCAAGAACACGAATTAGTATACATATACAGATAGATACATAATAAATTGTTCCTGATCTCAATGAAATTCAAGTTCTCAAATCCTTTACCTGCTATAATCTCGACCGCCCTTTCAGTCTTCTCCAATTCTATAATCCCCCCAGCGCGCTTGTTTCATATTTCTTTTACCTCGATCTGGGTTTGTCTATGCCAAGCGGGCGTCTCCCCTGAATAATTTCACTCTGACAAGCAACAAGCAAACGATCTTCATACTTCACGCCAGTGCCCACCCACGACCGCGAATCGCACAATCGCCTAGGTAGACCAACGAGGGGAGGTTCTTTGAAGTCTCTGCCGCCAAGCACGATAAGCAATCCAACCCAATTCCATACCCGTCGATGCAACGATCCAGGGGCTGAACTTGAGTATCCGTGGGCGATCCGCCAGCCTGGCAGCATACGCAATTTTCGTGACCGCGAATCCCCAGCTTCTCTCCACAACACACTCCCTCGAAGATGCTTCCCCGGCACAACGCGACTAATGGATACCCGAGGAACAAGAGCGAAAAGGAAACCTATTCAATATCGCCTCATAGGTAGGACATACCAGATACGCAATCAGCTTGTGAAGGCAGAGATGCTTGCAGTTTCAACTAGCAGACATGAGTGGTTTTTGAGCCGCAAGCTGACTTTCGACATGCACAGGTTCAAGCCCAGATCAACCCCCTCTTCTGTCCGACGCAGAAGAACACTGATATTCCGTTCCTGCGTGGGAGTCACCATCCTCTTTATCTTCCTTTTCGTGTGGCCCGGTGCCTCCATAATACCGTTTGTTTCATTGGGCTTCCTGAGCTCCGTAGGGGACTTCCAGTTAGAGACTGTACGATACTATGACCTTTCGACAGTTCAAGGGACGGCTAGGGGCTGGGAGAGGGAAGAGCGAATCCTGCTGTGCGCCCCTTTGCGCGATGCTGAATCACACCTCCGAATGTTCTTCGGGCATCTGCGGAACTTCACATACCCTCACCACTTAATTGATCTGGCATTCCTTGTTTCCGACTCTAAGGATCAAACATTGTCGCTTCTGTCTGAACTGTTAGAGGAACTTCAAGCGGATGAGGACCCTAAGCAGCCGTTCGGAGAAGTGTCGATCATTGAGAAGGATTTTGGGCAAAAAGTCAATCAGGATGTGGAGAGTCGTCACGGTTTCGCCGCGCAAGCTAGCAGAAGAAAGTTGATGGCCCAGGCTAGAAATTGGCTTCTGAGTGCTGCTCTGAGACCCTACCACAGCTGGGTCTACTGGAGAGATGTGGATGTTGAGACTGCACCCTTCACTATTCTGGAGGATCTCATGCGCCATAACAAGGATGTCATTGTGCCAAGTAGGTTCCCGAGCATCTGTACACAGCCCAATTTTGCTAATAATTGTAGACGTGTGGAGACCACTTCCTGACTGGCTCGGCGGCGAGCAACCCTATGATCTGAATTCTTGGCAAGAGTCCGAGACAGCTTTGGCTCTGGCAGACACATTGGACGAGGACGCAGTCATTGTTGAGGGATATGCTGAATATGCCACCTGGAGACCCCATCTTGCTTACCTACGAGACCCGTATGGTGACCCAGATATGGAGATGGATATAGACGGTGTTGGGGGGGTCAGTATTCTGGCAAAGGCAAAAGTCTTTAGATCTGGAGTCCACTTCCCAGCGTTCAGTTTTGAGAAGCATGCCGAAACCGAAGGGTTTGGAAAGGTAATGCAGCTGCATCTAACCAATTCTGCGCAATTCTAATGAGACTCAGATGGCCAAGCGTATGCAATTCTCAGTGGTTGGGCTACCCCATTACACAATCTGGCATTTGTACGAGCCTAGTGTTGACGACATCCGTCACATGGAGGTAAAAACTTACTATGCAAGCTCAAGATTAGTATACTGACAATTACCAGGAAATGGAGAGAGAGCGTCTGCAACGTGAAGCTGAAGAAAAGGAGAAAGCTGACCGAATGAAGAAGATCAAAGATCAGTTCGCGGATACAAACAGCCAATGGGAGAAGGACAAGACCGACATCCAGAATGAGGCTCTGAAAGAAAAGCAGCAAGTAGAAGCAGCTGCAGCTCAGGCCGCTGCCCAACCTGCAAATGTCGTCCAAGCCAAGCCTGAGGGCAAAGTCGAGGTGAAAGAGACGAAGCAGGAAGCAAAGCCTGACTCACAACCCCCATCCCAGTGAGAGAATGACGAAGCAAGGTAGAGCTTCCGTACCCTTTCCCTTCAAGCTTTGCTGATCAAACCAGATGAACGGAAGTGCCTTTGAGAAGTGTCGCAATCGCTTGGCCATTGACTGTCGCTTCCGAACTATTAGAAGAGGGAGGGAGAGTGTGTGGCTTCTGGGCAGCTGTAGCATTACATCTGAGGAGTGAACATGGAAAGCTTTAGGCTCAAAACTGCATACGCTGTACACCCAATGATGGTTTCAGCATCCTTCTTAGTAATGGCAGAGCCGTTTGTTTAGCAATCCTGCTTCTTGACTAATTTGGCTTGGGAGTTATGTAAAAGTATAGACGGCGCAATAAGACAACACGTTGAACAATGTTAAAGAGAAGAACAGCTGCGAAGAAAACTAGTCGGAGATGAATTACCATTCTCTGTTTCTTCTGAAAGAGGGCCCAGACATTGGACCGAGTGAGAAATATGGTCACGTGGTAGATGACGGTTCAATGTGTCCTTGTGGCTCTCGAGACAATTTGGCTACCTTGATTGTAATGTATGTATAACCTGGAAAGTTTCCTTAATACAACAAGATATCAAGTCGATTTCAACGATTCGAATAACTTGAGCCAGATTACAGCTTCCGTCATTCCTAATTTTGGAGCTGGGTTTGCATTGCGGGCGTGTTGAGCTACATTATGAACAATAATGTCTCCGCCTTGAACTCGAAACAAGCAACTGGACAGACAAACCACTCCAGAGCTTTTTCTACATACGATACCGAAATATCCTCGAATCTCGAAAGCATTAGATACATCTCAGAACCGCCGCGATTCCAAGGCGCAATGGTTGCCTCCAGTAAAGCGCCTGTCTCCGTGGCAGTTGACCCCGTCGCCCTGATCACCACGGAATGCATCACCGTCACGTCTGCCATGCGCAAGCATGCCCGGTGGGCGCACTCGTCCGTCTCTGCCATCCTTGGGGGTAGCTCTAGCCCATTGAATCCGAGCTTACAGAAACCCCGCCCATCAACGCCGGGAGACGAGATTGGGAGAGGAAAGGTGGGCAAGAATCGTTCGTCCTCCGGCTTCATAGATGCAGATGATGGGGGGTTAGCGAATCGATGGGGGCTGAGGGGAAAGAAGGGGAAGAGCATGCAGGATAATCCGCTAATGGCTGGGTTTGGGAGGCTGAGGCGCGAGTTGACGGGGTGTAAAGGTAAGAGCACAACCAGCCAAGAGAGCTACCAGCTTAAAAGTCAAGTAATGGGATGTTGTATTGATGGGGAAGCAGATATACATAAGTTCGATACGCCCTCGTTGCTGCATCCTTTCCTGCAGGTCATCCAAGCTCCTGCGACATCTGCGCCCATTACCTCCCTCGCTCTCGTGGCCATCACCAAGTTCTTCTCATATAACCTTATAAGTCCTGACTCTCCACGCCTACCGCTGGCGATGCAGTCCTTATCTGCAGCGATCACGCACTGCCGATTCGAAGCTAGCGATTCTGCGGCGGATGAGATTGTGTTGCTGCGTATATTGAAGCTTATGGAGGGCATGTTGTCTGGACCAGGCGGGGATCTCTTGAGCGACGAAAGCGTGTGCGAAATGATGGAGACAGGACTGAGCATATGCTGTCAAGCCAGGCTCTCAGAGCTGCTCAGAAGATCTGCGGAAATATCCATGATTAGGATGACCCAAGTCATTTTTGAGCGGTTAAAACACCTGGAGATCGAGGCTGGGGATGAGCTAGATGCACTGGACGAGAAGACCAAGGAAGATATGGACACAGTGAAGATGGCCCCGTCGGCCAACAAGAACGATGCTGTGAAATCGTCTTTGGCGACTCCTCCAGAAGACGTGAGGCCGTCGTCGAGTTTCGAGAAGGGGAGGGCGCCGGAGACTTCGGCGTCGGCGTCTATGGACAACGGGTCCGAGATGGAAGTTGCGCCTGCTTCGGAGGCGTCTGATGAAGCTCCTCCCAAGCCGTATTCACTACCGTCGATACGAGAACTGTTTCGAGTGTTGGTGGACTTGCTTGATCCTCATGATCGGCAACATGCTGATACTATGAGGGTGATGGCATTACGAATTATAGACGTTGCGCTGGAAGTTGCGGGACCGTCGATCGCAAAGCATCCTTCGCTGGCGAATTTGGCTGAGGATCGTTTATGCAGATATCTGTTTCAGCTTGTTCGGTCAGACAACATGGCAATCTTACACGAGTCTCTGGTTGTGGCTGGGACGTTACTGGCAACTTGCCGAGGCGTTTTGAAGCTGCAGCAAGAGCTGTTCTTGTCGTACCTGGTGGCGTGTCTACACCCACGTGTTGATATTCCCAGGGAACCAGGAATCGATCCTTCTCTTTACGCCGGGGTACCCCAAGCACCTAAGCTCGTCAAGCCGTCGCCTTCGCAGTCGAGTAGCGGGAGATCAACCCCCGTACCTGTTAAAGACCGGCAAAAGTTGGGCATGGAAGGCGGATCCCGGAAACCGGATGCTAGAGAAGCAATGGTTGAGAGTGTGGGCGCATTGACAAGGATACCGAGCTACATGGTAGAGCTATTCGTTAACTACGATTGCGAAATCGACCGGAGTGACCTGTGTGAAGATATGGTGGGACTTTTGTCCCGAAATGCTATCCCAGACTCGGCAACTTGGAGCACGACCAGTGTTCCTCCGTTATGTTTGGACGCTCTCTTGGGATACATCCAGTTCATTGCCGAAAGGCTTGATGATGAACCTGTGACTGACGGGTACCCGGATCAGAAAGCGCTACGAGAGAAGCGGAGGAGGAAGAAGATTGTTATCACGGGTGCTGGGAAGTTTAACGAGAGTCCGAAGGCTGGACTTGCTTACCTCCACGCTCAAGGTATCATTGATGACCTGAAAGACGCGCAGCAGATCGCCACGTTCCTGAAAGGTACTGCCCGTATTTCGAAGAAGCAATTCGGAGAGTTCATTTCGAAGAAAGGCAATGAGCCTATCCTTGAAGCGTTCATCGCCTCATTTAACTTCGACGGAAAGCGAGTGGACGAAGCGCTCCGGGAAGTGGTAGAGAGTTGTCGCTTGCCAGGAGAGTCTGCCCTAATCGAGCGAATTGTCACAGTGTTTGCCGAGCACTACCACAAAAGCGATATACCCCAGCCAATGGCGAATCCAGATGCCATCTTCGTCTTGACATATGCCATTCTCATGCTGAACACTGACAGCTACAACCCTAATCTCAAAAACGCATCCCGTATGACGGTGGAGCAATTTGCCAACAACCTGCGTGGAGTCAATGGTGGTGACAACTTCGAGCCTACGTACATCCAAAGTATCTACGACTCAATCAAGGCAAATGAGATCATTTTGCCAGATGAGCATGATAATAAACACGCCTTCGACTATGCCTGGAAAGAACTGCTCCTCAAAACGGAGTCAGCTGGAGACTTGACGCTTTGCAATACGAACATTTACGATGCAGACATGTTTGCCGCCACCTGGAGACCTGTAGTTGCTACTCTCTCGTACGTGTTTATGTCAGCCAGTGACGATGCGGTGTTCAACAGAGTCATTACGGGATTCGATCAATGCACGCGTATTGCTGTGAAGTATGGACTTACAGAGGCCGTCGACCAAGTGGTGTACTGCTTGAGCTACATCACTTCATTGGCTACGGAGCTGCCATCGAATACTTCTCTCAACACCGAGATTCAGGTAGGCGAGAACAGTGTTATGGTTAGCGAACTTGCGGTAAAATTTGGTCGGGACTTCAAGGCGCAATTGGCCACAGTTGTGCTATTCCGGGTTATTACGGGCAGTGAGGCTATCATCGGCAATAGTTGGAAACATGTAAGCTTCGCTCTTGTTCTTGTCTTATCTTTGTACTGACCATCGCTAGATCGTCCGCATCTGGGTGAATCTCTTCGTCAACTCTCTCATTCCACCTTTCTTTGCACCCAATCGCTTAGAAATTTCTCCTATACCCCTACAGAGTCCCTCCCAGATTATCGACCGTGGCCAAAAGCCTAGCGATGCTGGCCTTTTCTCAGCCCTCACGTCTTACATTTCCAGTTATGCTGCCGACGACCCGCCCGAGCCTTCTGACGAAGAGTTGGAGAGCACTTTATGCACGCTAGACTGTGTCAACGCTTGCTATATTGGAGATGTATTTGCAAACGTTGTGTAAGCTCTTCTAAACACGGCTCACCGTCACGCACGCTGACTTCTACAGAAACATGCCCGTCGAGTCTCTGAAACCGCTTATCGATGCATTGCTTGCTCAACTCCCAGATGATCCCTCGTCAATAGTAATTAGCGTCAAATCCGAGGCAGATACACTGCCGGCAAACGGACAGAAAACAACGCAGAATGGACCTGTCTATGATCCAGCCATGGTCTACATTTTAGAACTGTGCACAGTGCTCGCTCTCCGGGACAAGGAGACTGTCGCGGCTCTTGGTGCAGATGTGGCCGAGGCGCTGCAGAACGTGATGCGACACCCATCAAGCTATCATTCCATCATGATCTCAAGGACGATGTTCTACCTGCTCCATCTTTTGCACGCTAGCTACGTAAGTGAAGTATGTCTGTGGTCTATAGTGACACAGGCTGACAAACCCCAGGAACATGAATTCCTCCGTGTCCCAGTTGTGCTTCACACGATCTCGAGCTTCAAAAAAGATCTTCTTGACAAGTCGGCGCCTCTAGTGCTCCAAGGATTGGTGCAATGCTTCAAAGAACCTGGACCTCTCAGAAACGAAATTATGACTTCTCCAGACTTCTGGGTCGTTCTGCGCAACCTGACAGGCAACGCCCAATCCGCCCCAACAGTCTTTGAGATTCTCGAGGGTGTTGCCGTCGGCTCACCGCCCACAATAATGGCAGACAACTACGAGTCCGCCGTCAAACTCCTCAACGACTTCGCATCTGCCGGCAGCGTCGGCTCAACCGTCGAGCAAAAGCAAGACAAGCGCGCTAGGCGAGGGAAGCAACCAACGCCGAAGCAAGTCAAGCCGCAACAGCAGCCTCAAATTGACGCCGCTGTTGCCCGAGGCGTGAAAGCAATCACAATGATCTTCTCGCTCACAGCACGCATACCAGTCCTGATGCAGCAATCCCACCTCGAAAGCAAGGAAGCGTGGGCCGCGTACTGGTCGCCTATCTTCCACGCTCTGACGACGCAATGCACGAACCCGTGTCGCGAGATCCGGCACCAAGCTTTCTCTTCCCTCCAACGTGCCTTGCTCTCCCCAGAACTAACTCAGGGAGAGCATGATGAATGGACGGCTATCTTTGGGGAGGTACTATTCCCGCTCATCCTGAGGCTGTTGAAGCCGGAGGTCTATAGCTCAGATCCGGTAGGCATGAGCGAGACTCGGGTGCAGGCCGCGACGCTGCTGAGCAAGATCTTCTTGCACTACTTGACGTTGCTTGCACAGTGGGAGGGCATGCTCGATCTATGGGGAAAGATTTTAGATATCATGGATCGCTTGATGAACAGTGGGCAGGGTGATAGTCTGGTATGCCTCTTTCGCTTCTCTCCCCCCTCACAAAACCCCCTACCCAATCATAATTCCGCCCACGTATGAAAGCAGTCCCTAGAGATTGGGATTTTGGAATGCTCTGCTGATAACCAAATAGGAAGAAGCCGTCCTCGAGTCTCTGAAGAACATCCTCCTCGTCATGTCCAGCAGCGAGTACCTCGTCCCGCCAAGCAAGGACCCGTCGCAGGAGAAGCTGTGGGTTGAGACGTGGAAGCGCATCGATCGCTTCCTACCTGATCTGCGGAAGGAGTTGGATCTGGATGCTCCAGTCTCCTCGGAGGTCTCCCTCGAGAAGGAGGCGGACAAAAAGAAGTTGGAGGGGGAAGCGGAAGGGGACCAGAGGGTCGAGGCAGTGCCGGTGAGGCTGAATGAGGAGGCTGTTGCTGCTGCTGCTGAGTAGACTCGCGGGTTGCCAATAGATAGATGTGGAATGTATGAAGCGCGAAAGATGAGGGAAGGGAGAAGGGAGATGAGAAGGCAAGGCGGGGCGGGGCGGGGGTGTATAACATGAGGCGTACTGAGTGGAATCAGTGAGTGAATGAGTGTACTTACAAACGGATTCGAAGAAAAAGGCACATGTATGGCAGTAGAATGTCAGCGAGAGCGAGCGAGCGAGCAAGATCAGATCAGGTCAGACGCGGAAAGGAAAGGAAATGGTATAGAAGGGAAAGTGTAGTGTAGTGTAGTGAGGCCTACGGAAGTTGGATGGCGTGTGTAGATGGGTGGGTGCGCGCGTAAGAGAGATAGAACGAGAGGCGGCTGCTGAATCACTTGTTGTAGATAAGTAGGTATAGGTATATATGGGCTGTGTATGTTGCGCATAGCGACCGAGGGATGTTGTGAGAGAGGTTGTGAACCGATTGACTGATTAACGGACAGACAGAAGACAGCCAGCCAGCCAGCAAGTGCAAAAAATTGTATGTATTTGTTTAACATTAACCATTTATATAAAAATGGAACGAATTTTCCATGCATCTATCCATCTATCCATCTATCTATCTGGCTAGCATGTGTCTATACATTTTCGTAAGATATACTTGTACCTGTGGCTGGGCTATAAGCGATATATACATCCATATAACAAACAGGTTTCGTTTTATCTCTGTTGCGCTGGAAATAAAATGAAATAAAACAAACATTCCTTAAGTGATTTTATTTCTCTTCCCTTTTCTTTAGGTAGGTATCTTTGCCTCTCCTTTTTGCTTTCTTTTTTGTATAAGTATCTCGCGGTTTAAGTATCACGCGGCTCTCCTTACCTTACCTACTCCCAGCCAAACGAAACGGAATCCATAGAAACTATAACCGTTTTATTTATTATATTTTGAATGAATATGGATAATAAACGGGTTAACAAGTGGATTCAGTAGAACATGTATTCCAAGATTTCCTATATTCGTAATTGTAATAGTAATAGCATTCACCCATTTACGTCAGCCGCCTATCCAATACTTATTTCTTAAATCCTATAACCCCCTTGTAAAATGTCGTGCTAACCAAAAGAACTATACGCAAGATCGAATACCATCCAACCGCGCATTAAATCCATGTCCAAAAAAAAAACAAAAAAAAAAAACTCTCTTTCTATCAAGTAACCCTCCGGCCGTTTGCTTAATCCCACAATATTGCAGACTTTTCATAAACCTTTTGCAAGCATTTAAGATTAGTTTTTGAGGGGAGGGAAAATTGGCATCGAATTATTTCTCGATAACCGCGATTACGTGGGCCTTGCGAGCAGCCACGATCCGTATAAAAATAAATATATACAAACATCATTCTCATTTATCCCAAAGCTTCTTATAAAGGCTCCCTCCATTCATAGCCTCTATACTCCATAAAGCCGATATATTTGTATTTCCAAAGCACTCTTATCAAAAGCACAGTACCCTCCCTATTTTCAGTCAATCAATGAATCAATCAATCCATCAATCCCCTCCCATCCTTCCCACCCGTTCGGTATGCCCGTCAACCATAAACCATAATCAGCGTGATAATCGCAATCGGAAAAGAGGCTCGTTCGGAGCGGCCGGTAAAGAAAAATCTCTTCGAAACGGCCACCTTGTTTCAATTTCGGCTCTTTCCGTAGAACTCCTTCTGCCGCTGGAAAGAGAGCTGGAGGAGAAGAGAGAAGAAAGCCGAAGTTAAGGTTCGAAAGAGCACAGGCACCTCCTCCTCCGCATAGGTGCACAGAGTAGGTAAAGAAGCGCAGCTTCCTTGTCCCGTTCAACTTTACAGTAAGAAAGTCAAGATATAAATATATATATATATATATATATATATACTACGTCCCAGGCGTAAGTATTACCCCTCGAGGGTAGAGTGGAAACTAAACTCTTGAGGCACCCTCGAGGGGTAATACTTAGGCCTGTACCGTGTTAATTGGGTGCTGCCCAGAGCCTTTTGAGGCCTCGACAGAGGGGTGTTGTTATGGCCTGAGGCTACCAGGCCTCTAAGGCGCATGTGCGCGCTAGGGGAGTACATAGACTTCTCCCACCAAAGAGAACTTGGAATATCATCCTTTCTACCGTACATACAAGCTCTCCCTCTCCACTATTAAAGTGGTGTGTTGAGCCTGTATGGCTCGCAGATGCAAGCCAAGTTGCACCACCAAAATATTCTTGCATCTCCAAGTTGCACGTCAGGATGCAAGAATTGAGCAATCTGTATGGCTCGTGCAGGTAAATCTTGTAAAGTGTGCATCTGACCTTGCAACTTGCAGTTGCACCATACAAATTGAAGTTGCAGTAAATAGCTCGAACTCCCAAGTTGCAAGCTCAAGTTGCAAGCTATTCGACCCCCTCCCCACCCCTTTCCTTTCCGCCTATTTTGATCAGCTTTTCATTTTTACAACGCCAACTATTTGCAATAGCTTTTTCTAATGATACTTTAAAAAACCGTAATCTGCGCAATCGCAATATAAGTGTTATTATCGCTGCGATGGGAGCATGCGCCGCTATTCAATACTACAAAAACAACTTCGTAAAAACACTTTACTAATTAGCAAATTGCTATTCAATTTGCTAGTTGCGAGCTATACAAGCCTTGGAACGTGGAACTTCCATTGTCAATTTGAGTTGATCTTGTTTAAGATCAACTCAACTGCTTAGTTGGACGGACGTGCAACTGCGAGCCATACACACCCTAATTAGTAAAGTAAAGTGGAAAGAGAGCTACAACCTCGCCCCAATTCCTAGTTCTAGGGAATACAAGTCGATCAACCACAACCACACTTACCAAAAGCTTCTTCTTATGACCTAGTATTATTACTAGATAAGTACTAGCAATAATAATTATCGAAATTCCATATATATAAAAACACGTCACTTGGATAATCGAATTGTCGATAATATGTTTTTATTTGTTGATAATCAAGTCCTTAATATCTTATCATAAATAGAGACCTAGTTTTCATCCCTTAACTTCCCTCCCTCCCTCCGAAATACATTGAGCTCAACTCTGTCGTCGAAGAAGAGGAGCAGTCCAACTGCTCAATAGTCCCAGCTCTAAAACAGAGTCCAACCCACAACTTATCCCGTCTTTAATCCCATGCCTATCATAGCCCCGCAGTAGGCAAAGCGAGCGAGCGGATGAGGCCTTTGTTGTCGCTAGTTCCAAGAGCAAGGAACTTTCAAGATCGTGCCAGGGGTGGTTATAGTGCTCGCAACGTTGGAGTTTGTGGTTTGCAAAGCATCGACAGGTATGCAGAAATCTGACGCAATAGCTGACAATTGGTCGCCATCGACGACCGTATAGTACCCAAATTCATTACTGCTCGAGATCCTAGCGCAATCGCGCTTTCGCTCTCTGCAAGGAACTGTTAAAGTTTCTCTTTTTTCGGAAGCGGGGCTAGAGTTCAAGCTTTGCACCTGTGCTAAAGTGGTGCAAAAGTCAGCCGCGACAATACTCCAATTGTCGGAGTCTGTAAGAGTATAAGAGCCGAGGCCTTGAACGGCGCCGGTGGTGTCGGGCTTGCAGGTTCGACGATAGGCGGTTGCGACGCCGAGGAAGGAGGCGACCAAGAGGAGGTTGTTATTGAAACGCATAATGGAGTTGGTAAATAAAGGTGATCGTTTTAACGAATTGAGCTTATAAGAAGATTGTAGAGCACTGTAATGATAGCGTATGGGACGAATGGATACGCAAAGAAGAGTAGCTCATCTTATATAGTTATGACTGTGAAGTGGCTCGGCAATTTCGTATATATACTTTTTATCGCTAGTACCGTATTAAAAATACGAGCAGTAACGTAATCGTCGGCTCGCTTAGGTTTCAGTCTTAAAGGATATACTACGTGCCAGGCGTAAGTATTGCCCCTCGATGGTAGGGTAACCAGGGGGTTTGAAGTGGAAAATAAACTTTTGAGGCACTCTCGAGGGGTAATACTTACGCCTGTACCGTGGTACATATATGTTTTGTATAAGGATCGGAGAGATTTCCCCCGCCTCCTCACCCCCTTTTAATAGTAGATTTTGACATCGTCTGAAACACAGGTGAATCACAAACACAAACGAGCTTGGGTTAGAAATCAAGACCTCCCGGTTATTAAGTAGTGGTGGAATCTGGCGCGGATCAAAATGTGGCCTTTTATCTTATCTTTACTTACCACGGTACAGGCCTAAGTATTACCCCTCGAGGGTAGGGAAAACAGGGGGTTTTAAAGTGGAAACTAAACTTTTAAGGCACCCTCGA